TTGCAAACAAGAGGAGTTTGAAACCAGAAGTTAGACAAACTTGATGGATTGGAAGTCACGCTGAACTGGGACTCTAGAGAATGAGAAAGATCATGGGCTCCTGAGGTGTTTGCTTGGGAAATATCCAAAGGCCTCTTCTTTGTTCCAGAATCCTCCAGGTTCACAGGGGAAAGATGGAGCCATCCAGGTGTCAACATGTCAGTGAGGACATTGGACCATCACGGCCGAACCAGTGAGGACCCCAATTTGATTAATGGAATCTTCCACTATTTCTCACCTAGTGCGGAGATCAGCTGTACTGCATGGCATCAGCACAATGGCATGAAGCAGCCTAGCTTGCCCGAGAGAAACTAAAGAAAGAGGCACCTGCCAAAACCTGCCAGGTGAGGGAAGCATGCCAGGGCTCAGAGGTGTTACACACATTGGCCACAATAGGTGCATGAGCTGTCTGTGACTGACTTGTGAATGTCAACAGACAGCCATTCTTCTCCATCCTGCTCTCTTTGGTCTGTTAAAGGCAAGAGTAACTTAATAGCAAACAGCGAGTTCAAGGTCCAGCAACAGAATTAACCTTTCCCCCATCCCACACAAGGAGGGCTCTAAGGCCTGGTCTACAGTGGGGGCGGGGGGGAAAAAATCGATCTAAGTTATGCAACTTCAGCTACTTAAATAACGTAGCTGAAGTTGATGTACTTAGATCTACTTACAGTGTCTTCACTGCGGTAAGTTGACTGCTGACACTCTCCTGTTGACTCCACCTGCGCCTCTCACCCCGGTGACTCCACCGGGGTCAATGGGAGAGAGCTCGGTGGTTGATTTATCGCGTCTAGACTAGACGTGATAAATTTACCCCCGCTGGATCGATCACTGCCCATCGATCCAGTGGGTAATGTAGACAAGCCTTAAGGCAGTGGTTTTCAAACTTTTTCCTGGTGATCAAGTTGAAGAAAATTGTTGATGCCAGTGACCCAGTGGAGCTGGGGATGAGGGGTTTGGGAGGGGCTCAGGGCTGGGGCAGAGGGTTGGAGTGCGGGGTGAGGGCTGTGGTCAGGAATGAGGGGTTCAGGGTGTGGGAGGGGGCTCTGGGCTGGGGTGCAGGCTCTGGAGTGGGGCCAGAGATGAGGGCTTTGGGGTGTAGGAGGTGGCTCTGGGTTTGGGGAGGGCTCAGGGCTGGGGTACGTGAATGGGCACAGGAGGGGTGCACAGGCTTACCTGCGGCGGCTCCTGGTCAGCAGCGCAGCAGGGGTGCTAAGGGAGGCTTCCTGCCCGTCTTGGCACTGCAGACTGCACTGCACCCCGCAAGTGGCCAACAGCAGGTCCGGTTCTTAGGTGGAGGTGCACAAGTGGCTCCACGCGGCTCTTGCCCACAGTCACCGCCCCCCTCTACAGGCACTGCCCCCCAGCTGTGTGGAGCCTGTGCTCAGGGTGGAGTCAGTGCACAGAGCCCCATGGCTCCCCCGCCTAGGAGCCGGACCTGCTGCTGACTGCTTTTGGGGCACAGCACAGTGTCAGAACAGGTAGGGACTGGCCTGCCTTAGCTGGGCAGCACCACTGATGGTATTTTTAACTGCCCGGTTGGCAGCACTGACCAGAGCTGACCCAGTGCCTTATATTCTGCGACCCAGCACTGGGTTGCGACCTGCAGTTTGAAAACCACTGCTCTAAGGGACTTTGGTAAGAAACTCTAAGATAAGTGACGAATAGACACTCTCTGAAAGAGGACTTTGGGGAGTTTTGCATAAGATTTGTTTTGTGAATAACTGTTTAATTTTGATTTCAAAATGCTTGGTTTCATTTTGAATTCTTCCATCTATTCCATTAATAAACTTAGCTTTGGGATGAATCTCTCACCCTCTCCCATAGCATTTTTGCCATGGGACTAAGCAAGCGAAGGTTTCTCCTCCAAATGTAAACCATGCTTTCATAATTTAACATTGAGTTAATGACGCTGTCACTGCATCCATGACAACCAGCCCATTCATTCCATCAAATGCTTACAACGGTTCACCACAAAGTAATCAAATGCTCTGGCATTTTGAGAAGACACCCCTCTCCAAGAAAGTTTCACTCTGAGCCTCTCCCAATCATGGCCTAAATCCTTCTAAACTGCACTACACCAAGAACAAACAAATTAAGTTTGCTCCAGGGATTGTTACCAACCCTGTATTTTTCAGGAGCTGAAGGAGAGTCTGCGTAAGCTAAAAACCTGGTCTCTCTCACCAACAGAAGTTGGTCCAATAAAAGAGACTACCTGACCCCACCTTTGTCTCTCTCTCCCAACCCATATTTCCATGCTAGGAACCAGGAATGCACAATAGATGTCCAAATGGAAACAGGGTGTGGTCTATTCTTTTAGAATTAGCATTCCCAAAGAGCAAGCCACTATTTTTACCCCAGGCTCAGGGAGAGATTTTGAAAGGGGGAGTGTGTGCGCTGTGGGTATTTGTCATCTAATCTCAGCATGCAGAAGAAATATTTATGAAGTTCAATACAACTCAGATGTTTTAAGTTCTGGTGTCAAATTAGCTGGACCTAAACCAAAACCCTGGATGCAAACCACTTCAGGCCTTTGGGGGTTTAGAATCCTGACAAATCTTGTGGCTCAGTGCAAATCTTAGCAGGCCAGGAAAAGCCTATTGGCTGCCAGCCCAGAAATACCAAGTGTGGACAAATCAAATGCAGCTGCAACCTGTCACCCCACATGAGAAGATCCTGGTTACGTCAATTTGCATGTGGCTGAACTGAAGATGCAAAGGAAACATGGCCTCCTAGTTCTACTCAAGTTTCCCTGTAAATTCCAACTGCAGAAGTGAATGGATTTCCCTGTTTCATGGAGTAACTCCTCCTCTGGCCGGTTACATTGCAACCGTACTACCCTACGAGGCTAGCAGCATACAGGCTCTTCCTGTTATGAGGCATGGCATGGGGTGACGCTGCTGTTCAGCAGCATGCGCGAGAAAGAGTCAGGAGAGCAGTTTTCCTTTTCAGCCTCAGGCTGGATGTGCTTGTCAGTTGACACATCAGAGTTTTAAGTACAGATCAGTCCAGTAATTTTCCCTTAGGAAAGGGACAAAAATGACTTCATGACACACCCTTGCCACAAGAAAAAAAAAATATAGCACCATGTTTTCTTGTCAGACATATAGGTTATCCTATACCACATTACCTCAGTAGAAGTTTCCTAGCATGCAGAAAACTTTGTAATCTTGGGAAGACACACTTTCAGGAAGTATAACAGTGCTGTGTGGAATCAGCAGCTGCTCCAAGCAGGGGACATCCCTCTCCCACACACTATCCTCATCTCCTGGAATAGTCGATGGTACATTGTTCCGGTCCTCTGAAATACCAATATACCATAACCGCCCCATGCAATCACTTACCTCCAAACCTGCAGGCCACCGAGCTCTGTAATCTAAACATTGGCAATGCCCACTAAACCCTGCCTGTGTCTGAGGCAAAGCCCCCAGATCCAGATTCATTTTATTAGAGAAGATCTGGGGCCATAATTTTTAGAACACCTTAAATAACAGGCAAGACCTCGGTGATTGTTTTACATGTTCTACCTAAAGGGTCACCTGAGCAAGGCTATTCAAAAAGCCAGAGAGCAAGCACATTAAGTCCAAGTATGATGCAGGAAGCTTCTCTCCAAATACAGTTCTACCACCCCACCCCTAAATTCTGACCTACAGCAGCCCCTCCTGTTCCAGTCTTGGGGACAACCCTGGTCAAGGGCAAGCCCCTACATACAGAACTCAGGACCTCACACACAGACGGACTGTATTAGAAGGCTCTTTAAAGGTTATTTGTAACTGTTTTGTTTCAAGCTGCTGCTCTTCACTCTAAAATCTTTCTGCACTCAGCAAACGCAGATTTGGTTAAGCAATCTCTGTACACTAGGTAAAATGGCTGAGTCATTATCACTATTATTGCTACTCTAAAGGTGCTACTTAGGGTACGTCTATACAGGGATAGAAGACCCACAGCAAGGCTGGCAGCTGGCCTGGGTCAGCTAACTCAGGACTAAAAATCGCTGTGTAGACGTTCTTTTTACAATGTATGTTTGTGTCAAGGGAAGAAAGAGAGTTCAAACAAGAATTGAGTATAAAGATGCTGCTCTCGAACATCTCCTTTGAGACAAAGAAAACAATTGCACATTGAATGATGTTTTATGAAATCTAGCAATTGTTCACTAATCTTGTACAATGGGTTTCACTATTCAAGCCAGTAGCATAAGAAGTTTAATTCTTGGCTCTCAAAAGGACCTCAGAGGCATAGGTTTATGAAGGTGTTGAATATGAAACTTTCACCAGCAATTTTAACTCTAAATGCATACTGAAGTAAAGAGGGTAGTTAACCTAGTTTTATTTCAGGACAGTTGCTCTATTAACTGAGTTGCATCTCCTTCTGGAAGGCTATATGGATTTGGCTTTTGTATCTGCTCAGTTTTTCATTCAGATTATAGTTTTGTTTCCTATTTTACAATCTAGCACCTCTTTCCCAAAAGATTGACAGAAGCTACAGGTACACATTCTTCTGAGTTGGGTCACAGATTATAAAGCAAGAAAGGACCACTGTATTAGTCTGACCCCCTGCATAACCAGCCTCTTACAGGACTTCCCCGATTAATTCCCATTTGAACTAGAGGAGCAGATCTCTTAGAAAAGACCCACTCCAGTGATGGAGAATCCACCAGGAGACCCTTAGTAAATTGGTCCAGTGGTGGATTACCCTCACTATTAAAATCTGTGCCTCTGAACGTCACGTCCAGCTACCAGCCTTGCTTACATGAGGCCTCAGCTTCATGGAGCATCTCCGGGCTGACGCTAGGGTTTGCGCCCCTTCCTGCCTGCACGGGGCGCTCCGGCCACTCGCTCGCTTTAGCGCTGCTCGGCTCGGTGTAGCAGACGGGTCCCCGCTGCTGCACCGCAGGCTCCAGTCCAAGGTACTGGCCAGCCCGACCAACCCCACCCCAGCCCCCCCGCCGCCCCGGCAGCGCTCACCAGTTCTCCCGCATCCACTGGATCGCCTGCAGCTCGTCGAAGCGCCGCTCGAAGTCGTACTCCTGCGGGCGGCGCAGCGCGGACAGGTTGGCGCCCAGCAGCTCCATGCTGGAGAGGCTCGGGGCCGGGGCGGGCCGGGGCCTGCCGGGGCCTGCAGGAACAGGGGGGTCGGGGCCGGGGCAGGTCGCACCGGGCCCTGCAGAGGGAGGCCGGCGCGGGAAGAGAAGGAGCCGCCGGCCGCAGCCAGGCTGCAGGTGACGCGCTCCCGCCGCCAGCTCAGCCAATTGATACAGCTTAGACCCCGCCCCACCTGCAGGCGCGCGAGCGGCCCCGCCTACCTACCTCATGACTGACAGGCGGCTGCGCCCCCCCGCCGCCGCCGCCGCCGCCTGAGTCCAGGCTGCCTCTCCCTTTCCGCACCGGCACAAGGCTGCAGCCTGGTCCTTCCCCCGCCCCCGCCCCCGGCGCCGGCGCCGGCGCCGGCCCAGGCCGCGCTGCTCCTCTGAGACGCCCAGCCCTGCTACCCGCAGAGCCGGACCCGGACCCCACACCGGGCACTGGCAGCAGGAAGCTCGCAGCCTACTTATCTGTCGCCTCCCCCAAACTGCTGCTGGCAATCATGTCTAAATCAGAGGGGCCAGAGTCCTTGGCCCTGTAAAGGTGATTTCCCTTCAGTTACACTAGTACAGGGCCTTTATCCTCAGAAGCCCCAACCCCTAGAAGGTAGCCATCAGTTCCCCCACCCAGTACCTGATACCCTCTCTGACCCAGGCTGCCCTTTCTCTAGCCACCCCCACTGTCTCATTAACATGCACTCCCTTTCAGAGGGCCTGTTAACTCCAGTGGTTGCATTAGTTGATCCAACAATGTATCATCCAAACAATATACATAGCATATGGATGAGGATTAGGAAGAAATTTACCCTACAGGCACTTAGAGACCAGTTGTCTGCTATGGGCTGTTTTGCGCCTTACTCTGAAGCATTTGGTCTTTGCCACCCGCAGAGACCAGACAGACCCCTGGACTAATCAGTATGGCAGTTCATACATTTGAAAACAATGACCATAAGCAAGATTCTTGGAACACAATGTGCACACTACATCACCAGTCATGTTACCTTTTCTGCATCCTAAACCCCATACGTTGTGTGTTTGCTATTTTGAATAAGCTCTCAAGCGTAAGGACCATGTCTTCACACTTGTCAGAAGGGTGGTCTCTCCTTGGTGCAACACAAATAAGGCTCACAGCACTGAACAGGTTTGCACTAAACTGACCGATCTTCAAACGCAAGAAGCAGAATGATGTAGAAACAATTATACAAAAGGTCAGTGTAGGGCCGTCCCTAGATATTTTGGTGCCCTACACAGCCCTCTCCCCCCGTGGGAAACTGCCCCCCAACACGAGCTGGCAGAGCAGAGCGGGCTGGGGCTGGGTGACGGGTTGCTCCATTTCCTGCTGCCCGGCGATTGAAGAGTGGGCACGACCCTGCACTCATGGGGCGGCGGGAAGTGGAGTGACCTGGCCCCAGCCCGCTCCACTCTGCTCCCCTTGCCCCAGCCTTGGGACTTGGGGGGCAGGCAGGAACCGCCCCCAGCTCTCACTGGTGGCACGGCTAGGAGCCAGGGGAGCAGAGCGGGCTGGGGCCAGGTCGCTTCACTTACTGCCGCCCGGTGAGTGCTGGGCACACCCGACTCCTGCTGCAGTCCCCTGGAATGTAGCTCAGGGGAAGGGGTGGAGTCGGGGCTTTGGGGAAGGGGCAGGGCAGGGGCTGGAAGAGGCAGGGTGGGGGCAAAGCAGGGGCTGGGGCTTTGGGGAAGAGGCGGAGCCAGGGGCGAGGGCAGCTTTCCTGGCTGGCTCAGCCAGCTGGGGGATTGGGCTGGCCCCTGGAGCAGCATGCAGCTGCATAGGGCACCAGGAAATCTGGGGCAATTTGGTGCCCCAAATTTCCTGGTGCCCTACACAGCTGCGTAGTTTGCGTATGGGTAAGGACGGCCCTGGGTCAGTGAGTTGCAGAGACAGACTGGGGCTAAGCTAGCTCAGCATTCCAGCATCTAGAGCAGTGGTTTCAAACTGCGGGTAATGACCCAATACTGGGTTGCAGAATGCAAGGCACTGGGTCATGGCAGCTCTGGTCAGCACCACCGACAAAGCCATTAAAAGTCCCGTCCGTGGTGCTGCCTGGCTAAGGCAGGCTAGTCCCTCCCAGTTCCGACTCTCTGGTGTGCCCCAGAAGCGGCCAGCGGCAAGTCCGGCTCCTAGGCAGGGGGCCAGGGGGCTCCACGTGTTGCCCTTGCCCTGAGCACGAGCTCCGCACTCCCATTGGGCGGTTTCTGGCCAATGGGAGCTGGGGGGGGGGCAGTGCCTGCAGGCAAGAGCCGTGCGGAGCTGCTTGCATGCCTCCGCCTACGAGCTGGACCTGCTGCTGGCCACATCTGTGACGCAGTGTGGTCCACAGTGCTAAGACAGGCGGGAAGCCTGTCTCTGCATCCCGACTGTGCCGCTGACCGGTGGCTGCCAGGGCCAAGCCCACACCCCAGCCCCAGCTCTGAGCCCCCCACTCAAGTCCGGAGCCCCTTCCTGCACCCCAAACCTCTCATCCCTGGCCCCAACCCAGAGCCTGCACCCCAAGCCCAGAGCCCTGACCCCCTCCCACACCCTAACCCTCTGCCCCAGCTCTCAGCTCCCCCAAATCTGGAGCCCCCTCCTGTACCCAAAACCCCTCATCCCCAGCCCCACCCCAGAGCCTGCACCCCCAGCCCAGAGCCCTGACCCCCTCGCGCACCCCAACCCCAAGCCCTGAGTCCCCCAAACCCAGAGCCTCTTCCTGTACCCCAAACTCCTCATCCCAGCTCCACCCTGGAGCCCTGACCCCCTCCTGCATCCCAACCCCCTGCCTCAGCCCAGAGCCCCCTCCCACAAACTCCTCATTCCCAGCTCCATTGGGTCGTGGGCATCAACAATTTTCTTCAACTGGGTTGCCAGAAAAAAAGTTTGAAAACCACTGATCTAGACTACTTTGGTGGTATGTGCTTTAGAAGTGCTTACAAACATACTACTGGTTGAAATGCAGGGATTTTCAGACTACATCTCGCTTGGTTTCCAGCTGGGTCAGGAAGACTCTAGGTTAGCGTTTAAAGAGCTGTATTTCACAAATTGTAGCCTGAAACCTTGGAACCTTCTTTTTTGGAGCTTTCCTTGTCTGTGTCCCTGTGTGCACTGCACTCCTGTCATCTGCCAGGCATGCTTGACAAGGTTGTACTGTGATTGGGAATACAATAGGCAGAGACCAAGATAAGAATATTCTGCACCAAGCCAGCCAGTTAGACTTGTGTAACTTGTGCTACAAGCATCACCTGGCCAACCGCATGACTGAAATTATTTCTTTTCTCGTATAAGAACCTTTCCTTCATCAAAACTCTTATTCGTAACATACCACATAGCTCTCATTCCTTAGAGGTCACTACCCTCAGCGACTCCTGTGACTGGCTATCACTAAGTACAGTACGCCTCTATTTATACCTTACCACAATCAAAAACTAGAAGAATCCTGAAGGGACACACCAGTTGTATTCTGCACCATCACCCCTCTTTACACATTAATTGCTTTTTCATATCCTCTACCTAGGCTTCCACCTCTACCATCCCTCCCTGTGTTGCCTTCCTTTGGATGTTTTTGTTTTCACTTAGAACACAAGTTCTCAACTTGCTATCTTAATGGTTAGGTGATGGGGTGGGCAGAATTCTTTTATTGCTGCCACATGGGGTCTCAGTGTGCAGGAGGCAGAAAACCACTGACTGAACTATCCTTTTCAGGGCAAGGAATCCATCCTTATCTGTATCCTAGAGCACTATGCACATCTATAGTGCTAGGCAATTATTTTATACTAGTGAAGTCGTAAGAGTTGAGTGAAGCTGGATAATCTTGCCATTGTTCTAGATCAGGGGTGGGCAAACTTTTTGGCCCGAGGGCCACATCGGGGTTACGAAACTTTATGAAGGGCCGGGTAGCGAAGGCTGTGCCTCCCCAAACAGTCTGGACCCCACCCCCTATCCGTCCCCTCCTACTTCCCACCCCTTGACTGCCCCCCTCAAAACCCCCGACCCAGCCAACCCTCCCCCTGCTCCTTGGCCCCTGACCGCCCCCTCCCAGGGCCCCTGCCCCTATCTGCCCCCTGTGATCCCACCCCCTATCCAACCCCCCTGCTCCCTGTCCCCTGACTGCCTGACCCCTATCCACATCCCCACCCCTAAACACCCCCCAGAACCCCACCCCCTATCCAACACCCCTGCTCTCCGTCCCCTGACTGCCCCCCCGAACCTCAGCCTTATCCAACTGCCCCCTGCTCCCTGTCCCCTGACTGCCCCCCGGGATCCCCTACCCAACCCCTCCCCGCCCCCTTACCGTGCCACTCAGAGCGGCAGGAGCTCGCAGCTATGCCACCACCCTGCCCAGCATGAGCAGTGGGCCAGAGCACCAGCGGCACAGCACGCTGAGACTGTGGGGCAAGGGGAACAGCAGAGGATGGGCTGGGGGGCTAGCCTCCCTGGCTGGGAGCTCAGGGGCTGGGCAGGACGGTCCCGTGGGCCGTAGTTTGCCCACCTCTGTTCTAGATGCTCAGTAAGGGCGTGTTCTGATCACCGCTGATACATCAGCCAGTGGAGTTAGCTTGGTAGAAAAGCTCCAATAAGGAGTGGCTGTAGGATGAATTAAAAAGAGAGAAAGAGAGAGAGAGATTATGGAAGATATGGGAGCATTGTACAAATGCATGGGATAGCCTCACCTTGGACATAGTCCAATTTGGTCACCGCATCACATGAGGCTATATCAGAGAGTACAGGTTCAGAGAAGGGCCCCAAAAATGGTTACTCAGGGAGGGCTTTTAAAAGCTGCCGACTGCTCACCTTACTTAGCCATGCAGTCTGTTGGAATTCAATGGCCCTGTTGAGTGACGGAGGGCAGGATTTGTCCATAGGTCAGTTTACTTTAGCAAGAGTAAAAGCAGATGACAAGTGTATGAAATCACAAAACAGTACATAACAGACATTCTCTGTGCTTCTATTTACCATGTCCCATTGCACAAGGCCATGATGAAACCAAAAGACAACAATTTTAAAAGGTAATTAAGCAAATTATTTAATTCAGCCTGTAATTAACCTGGGCAACACAATGCTGAATGATACTGAGGCAAATAGTTTGGCAAGATTGAAAATGGTTTAGGTCTTGTTTCAGCATAACCCAGTGAATATCTCTAGTAATCCAAGTTAATCTCCACAGATCGCT